TTTTTTTTTTTTTTTTTTTGGTGCGTGTGGGGTAATAATTAAGGTGGTCAACTAACCTTCATCTCAAACAATATATTGCATGCTGCAGGTTTGGATTTCGGTAATGCCTTGGCCTAATATTCATTTTTTGGTTTCTTGATTTTATTTATCCAAGAAAATTCGAAATCGAACAACCTGTGGTCTGAGGCAGTGATTTACACTGGCCGAGACTGCTTTTCAGCATTTTTTTGCCAGTTTCCTATCATACACAACGCATCAACGCATACGTCCACTCATAATGATTCTGGTCAATCATGCAATTTTCATCGCTGTAAGTTCATTTTTCTTATGGAATCATATATTTAATCGAACTATATTTCAAACTTATACATAGAAAAATCCATTTTTTAAAAATCCATTCACATTATTTTTTAAAGAGGTTAAAAATATATACATAGATCATCCAATTTTCATCGTTGTAATTAAAAATCCATTTAATTCTAATATATACATGGAAAGAGGTTAGTGAAGTCATCCTCCTAAATTTTTTTTTAAAGATATTTAAAACCTTATTTTTTTTAAAGGCTTAAAAACAACTATAATTAATATTTTTAAAAATCAACAATTAAATTTAATATTTTATTTACATTAGATCATACATGTTAACCTCAAATTAATTGAAACTTCTTAAAATTTCGGTTACGAAGTAGTGTTTCAACGTGCATATGTCATTGTAACATGTTCACCATTCTTGTGTTAGGGTATATATGCTGATACTACTGTTTCATCATCAGTCTCCAATCGATCAAATGTTTTACTTGGCAGTGGCACTCAGTGGACATTTCAGCAGAAGAATATATGGAGGAGTTTCTCACTGATCAACTGGCAGTTAATCAATCAGAACAAGTTATGGATGATGCAAAAAATACAAATAACCGAATAGATGCTTGGAGGTCTATAGCAAGATTTGCAGGGGCTGTTATAGGCGGGGTGCTGATGTCAAGGCTTCCAACAAGTAAACAGCTCTATATGCCAGCAATTTTGGTGGGAATTGGTTGCATACTGCTCTATTCTTATAGCATATGTTATGAGGTATCTTCAGGAGATCATGAGGAGAAAAGCATGAATTTAGGTGGCTTCTGAAATTACTCCCTCTGTGGGCACCTTTTCTTATATCTTATGTTGTTGATGCAGCAGGTAGCGCCTTCTTTGATTATAAAGCTTATTTGTATATAATACAGAAATCTTCTGGAATCGTAGTGTAGCGTTTAATCGGTTATGTAATCACAAAGTTTTGCAGCAAGGTAAACCAGCAGGAACGGCAACGCATTAGGCTAGCGAAGATTACTTTCGGGATGTTGGTTTGTTTTTTACTCTACATTAACACTTGGCATGCTATGGCTAAAAGAAAATCATGGACGTACATTCTACAGTTTATCTTGTTAGGAATTATGAAAGACATGGTTAAAGAAATGTTGGGAGAATACTTCTGTGACCATGTACCAGATTATTTTGGGAATGGGAGCAGCTGTGTGAGGAGAGCAACCATTTATTTTGTACATGTAGAGAATCATGGATGGTTTGGATGAAGGTGTTGAGGTGGTGGGGTATGGAGGGGGTGTTGCCGAATACAATAAAAGAGATGGCTGATTATTTTTTGTTTGGTTTGGGAAATATTGTGGGCAAAGAAATGGGATCTTGTATTTTTTTGCTGGTATCTTGGTATGGATGGTATTGGAGAAACACTATAGTGTTTAAGAAAGAGGGAAATTTTGGGGAAAAGGTGCTGAGTGCTGTGCATGCTAAATCATTTCTATAGATTAAGCATAAACTAGAGGGGTGTGTCTTCTCATTTCAAGAATGGTTGTCAATACCGGATGAGTGTGCAGTAGAAGTAAAAAGGTATAGAAGTAGTCTGAAACAGTTTCATAAACAGCAGAAATAGCATGGATGATTTAGTTATATGAGCTGTGACATGGTTTTATATTTTGGGAATTGTTGTACCTTGTATAGTTTTTTTAAATGAGCAAGAGTACTCTTTGTATTTCAGTTATAATAAAATTTTATTTTACTAATAAAAAAATCAAGTCAATCCTTGCATCATTTGGAATTCACATTCAATAGCTTTGTGGAAGGAATGGGACGATTGTTAGATGTGGTATGTATTCTAGTTTTTAGAAATTGGATTGGTGAGAGAGACTGTCGACAATAGCCATTTAGACAACTACTTTCAAACAATGGGATTATGTTTGTTTTTCTATCCAATACATGTTATTGTAGAAAAGAGGCAGAGGAATAGAGGATCATGATGACCATCTTCCCTCGACACTCATCATCAATATCACAATCCACTGCTTACTTCGCAGGCGATGAATCCATCTCTGCAAGTTCAGAAGCAGCAGTACTCCTAAACTTGGACAGTGCAGGATCCTCTGTTAATAGAGACTACTGGTCAATTGTAAAAAGGTAATTATCTATTTTTCTTTTAATTTTTACTCTCCTCTTTTCAAACTCTATTACATTAATTTCTGATAAAAATGTATGAAATATCTAGGTACCAAAGATGCCATGGCTTTTTAAGGTACATCACTGGACGCTTGGGGGCGAAAGAAAAGTCTAGTTGACAACTATAGCTTCACAAACTTGTTCTAAACGACCACGAGTGTTTCCACTTTTCTTTTGATGACCGTGATCTGTTTTTATTATTATGTTCTCATTTTGTGCTGCTATATGAGTTTTGATGACCAGTTTGTCATGGCTGTGCTTAATTGTTAAGATTCTTCGTAATTAATTCGTGTCAAATAGCTTCTCTTGTAAATTTTCGTAGATATGAAACTCCGTATTATATATGGTTGTGTTTATATGTGTGTTTTCTTTCTTTTTTTTTCCTTTTTTTTTTTTTATGTATTAATTGTTTATGGGTGTTCTAGATTTTGTTGAAATGTATTAATTCCCAGTAGGTTAATGATTAACATTGCATCTGTGCTCCTCAAACGTCGATGTCACTTGAAACACCTCTAATGGCACCACTCTAATATCAACTGGTCGAATTGTAGAGGCAATTAATTCACCATAGCTCAAAGATAAGATGATACAAAGTTACAAACCTCCACTTGCAAATAAAATACATTAGTAAAACGCAGGAAAATGTAGCTAGAAATTAAACATCCAAATTAAACAACCCTCATTTCAACTCAGACCAGGCCTCCTCGGCTTCGTCTTCAACCACAGAAGTAAAGAGCTTATTATCGGAATTCCTCACAGAGCAATTTGCACGAATTTCTCCTTTCTTCCCAGTCAATACGCTCAGTTGTCCCATCTTAAGCATGGAATGCACGAATTTCTCAAAGAACAGCGACTCATCAGCGGCAAAGCTCTCGACAATGTCCTTGGTCCTAGGATCAGTGTACAGATCTTGGTCGGAGGTGAAAAGCCCCTGGCGATTCACAAGATTAACGTAGTACTTGTTGTCGAACTTGTTGGGGCTCCTGATGTCCAACACGGTGGTGTTGTTGTAGCCTTCAGTGGGACAGACTTTCTTGAGATCCTTGGCAAAAGTTTTGTCCATGGTGGGGTCTCGGGTGGGGTAAAGACGTTCCTCGAAGGAGCTGCAGTGGCCGAGGCCGATGGTGTGACCACCGGAGAGGGCCACCGCGTCGGTGGCGTCAAGCTTTTTGATGGCTAGACGGTTGAGAATGAAGGTGGTATTGGCTGTACCTGGTATCAAATTGTTTAAGGTTGCCTCTTCTGTGGCAAAGGTTAGACTGTCCCGCCTTCCCAGCGGCACTTCATAGTCTGGGCCTCCAGTCTACAATAGCCAAGAAATTAGCAGAAGGAAGAAAACATCTATTATGTAAAATAAAATTCAATTGCTAGGGAGAACAGAGAAGTCCAATCAGCCATTTTTGGGGAAAAATTCTTTATTGGGATGTTGAATACTTATACAAAACAACTTTATTATATTTTTCTACACAATAAAAATGAAATTTCAAAAATTCAAAGGCTTGACTAAATGTTCTGAATCAATATCCTTTTAGAGTAATAGTATTTTTTTTGTCGGCAAAAAAAAAAAAAAAAAAAAAGAAAAGCATTTCCTTACGGAATAATTAACGGTAGAGAGTGAAAAAAAAATCATACCAAGAAAACAGAGTCGCGAGCAGCAAGTGCGACAAGATCAGCGCAGGAGACGACTCTTCCGCACTCCTTGTGTACGAGCTCGCGCAGGTCGTTGATGATCTCGAACGCCTTGGCTCTCAAGGTCAGGTTAGGCACTGCGTTCTTCTCGCTTGGCCCACTCGCCGATCCGTCCAGCAGTACCGAGGCATCACATCCCTGCAAATTAATAATCAAGTAGTACCATTTCAACGCGTGTTTCAAGTTTCAACCATCGATGTTTAAACAGTATTATCAATTGCCTTATCCACAGACAGGAGATGAGAAAGAGCATCGTCCTGTCAGCGTCATATATCTATATCCAAAATCTGGAGATTGTAGAGTGTGTTTCATCTTAACTTTTCTAATAATTAAAATACTAAAAAAATATCCTACAATTCTTTTTTTTGAAAATAAGTAATGGAAAATATCTTACAATTCGAATAATTTGAAACTATAATAATTTAAAATAATCTAAATTGTAAACCAGTATACCTTTAAAATATACATCAATTTGAAAAAAGAACAAGAAAAAGAAAAGGAAAGGGTGAGATCTGGGTTTCCATTTTGACTCAAGCAAACACCTCCTCAGTTGGGCAGTCTCAGTTCTGTAATAAGGGTCCTTCCCCTGGCCCCATAGAAGGGCCATTAACCATAGGGTTCGCAATTTACAGTCCGTACAAATGATTACAAAACTTTTTTTTTTTACTAAAAATATCTTTAGAAATCATTTGCACTTAAACACATTAAATCATTTACTAAAAATCATTAGAAATCAGTGACAGAAAGATGGATTTCACAAAGTTCATAGTAATTACCAGAACAAAGCAGTCATGGAAGTGGAGACGAAGCAAGCCGGCGGCCTGTCCGACGTCCTCCTTGAAAACCTTCTTGAGATGCTTTCTGACGATGGATTCAACTCTGGGGCAAGTGGACTTGTAGTAGGTCCATGAGAGGCCCTTAACTTTGGG